TCTGAGCTATATTTATGAAAAAGGAGAAGAGACACAGAGAGACAGAGGGAAGAATATCATGGGACGCTGCAGCTGCAAGCGAAGGAATGCCTGGAGCTACCGAGAGAGGCACAGAACAGATTCTCCCTCAGAGTCCTCAGAAGGAAACAACAAAGCCGATGCCCTGAATTCAGACTTCTAGCCTCCAGAGCTGTGAGACAATGAATTTCTGTTCTTATAAGCCACCTACTTTGTGGTATTTTGTTACATCAGCCACAGGACACTCATACCGACTTGCACCGATTCACACTGCACAAGCACTCAGTCTTCTCCTACATTTCCTAAGTGATCCGCACCGTGCAAGGTGATGCTTTTATTACGTGCTATCTGGTTGTTACTTTCTTCCTGGGTGCTGATGGGTACTGTCTCCCAGACTAGAGTGTTCAGCGCTGTAAGGGCGGGCACCTCGTTGCAAGCTCTTGCAAAAACCCACTTCCCTCCTTCCCTTCCTGTGGGCAGCTAGCAGAAAGCTGGGTGCAAACGAGTAATTAGCATGTGTTTGCTTATTTTTTGTAATATAAGGTATTAGATTCCCATTGCTGCAGAATTAATCTTTAAAGGACAATGTCAACTAAAAAAAAAATAGGGTGATAAATAATAAGTACATCATATAAATATGTATTTTTATATATGTAAATATGTAAGATTCCTGGATGAGGCAAGGGGTTTACACTTGACTACTTACCTAAAAGTTGATGGTTCAAATCCACCTAGTGGTACCACAAAAGAAAGGCCTGATGATTTGCTTTTGTAAAGATTACAGCCAAGAAAACCCTGTGGAGCCCAGTTCTACTGCGTAACACCTGGGGTTGCCATGAGTTGGAATCAACTCAACAGCAACAGACTTGAAGTTTTAAAAATATATATATATTTATACATATACACATGCACATACACATATATATGGAGCCCTGGTGGTGCAGTGGTTAAGTGCTCATCTCTTAACAGAAATGTCAGCAGTTGGAACCCATTAGCTGCTCTGAGAGAGAAAGATGTAGCAGTCTGCTTCTGTAAAGATTAAAAAACTTGAAAACCCTATGGAGCAGAGTTCTACTCTGACACACATGGAGTCGCCATGAGTTGGAGTTGACTGAAGGGCAACTGGTACTGGTAGTGATACTATGTGTATATATATGTAAAAATGTAAATGCAAAAGACAATGCTAGATATTGTTCATGAATATATGTGTTTTATGTGTGACTATATGCTTAGATATATTTGTGTTTGAATGTGTATTACATATTGTCATGGATTGAATTGTGTCCCCCAAAATATCTGTCAACTTGCCTGGGCCATGATTCCCAGTATTGTGTGATTGTCCACCATTTTGTCATCTGATGTGATTTTCCTATGTGATGTTGTCGCAGCGGCGACGGTAATTGGGACGGCGAAGACAGTAACCAACTGCACAACTCTTACAGAGAAGTGGGGCCAGGAGGGTCACTCTGAGGAGTCGACCCCCACTTCAGTCCCAGGAGTTTATTTTATAGTCAATACAGCAATCAATAAGGCCATTAACAAAACAATGGGCTTTGGGTGTGGGCAAGGGAGAAGGAATTCAGGTAAACAAGTCAATCAGTAAAGGGACAATAGGTTTGGGAAAACACATCCGGACAAGTCTCAACATGCTGTGCAACATAGAGGCCTGTGGGGGCTGCAGTTGTCAATAGTGCAGCCATGTTTAAATGGCATATATCCCCACATGATGTAAATCCTATCTCTATGATGTTGATGAGATGGGACTAGAGGCAGGTATGTTAATGAGGCAGGACTCAATCTACAAGACTGGATTTTGTCTTGAGCCAATCTCTTTTGAGATGTAAAAGAGAGAAGTGAACAGAGAGTCAGGGGGACCTCATACCACCAAGAAAGAAGCACTGGGAGGACAGGGCATCCTTTGGACCAAGGGTCCCTGTGCAGAGAAGCTCCTTGACCAGGGGAAGATTAATGACAAGGACCTTCTCCCAGAGCCGACCGAGAGAGAAAGCCTTCCCCTGGAGCTGGCGCCCTGAATTTGAACTTCTAGCCTCCTAGACTGTGAGAGAATACGTTTCTATTTGTTAAAGCCATCCACTTGTGGTATTTCTGTTATAGCAGCACTAGATGACTAAGACACATATACATGTATGAAATTGAGAATGGAAGGATTGTTGTTGTTAGCTGCCGTCAAGTTGGCTCCAATTCATGGTGACCCCATGTACAACCTAACAAAACGATGTTGGGTCCTCACAATGATTGCTGTGTTTGGGCCCATTTTTGCAGCCACTGTGTCAATTCATCTCATCATTTAAAAAAAAAAAAAACAAACTCATTGCTGTCGAGTCGATTCCAACTCATGGTGACCTTATGGGACAGAATACGGTTATCTCACCATAAAAACCAACCAAACCTACTGCCATCAAGTCGATTCCAACTCACAGCAACTCTATAGGACAGAGTAGAACTGCCCCATACGATTTCCAAGGCTGTAAATCTTACAGAAGGAGACTGCCACATCTTTCTCCCAGCATCTCACCATACACAAAAATAAATATGATATTTGCCTGTTTGGGGGAGCCGCATTTAGGGGAATTGAGAAAACTGAGCATATTGGGCCCAGAGAAAAAAAATGCTTAACTGGTTGATAATTCCAAACCCAAACCCATTGCCGTCAAGTGCATTCAGACTCAGCAAGCCTATAGGAAAGAGTAGAACTGGCCCACAGGTTTTCCAAGGCAGAAAATCTTTGCGGAAGCAGGCTGCCACGTCTTTCTCCCAAGGAGAGACCGGTAGGTTCAAACCACTGACCTTTCGGTTAGCAACTAAGTTCTTTAACCACTGTGCCACGAGGGCTGATAATTTGATGCTGTCAAATATGTGAAGGACTGACTATTAGGTCATTCTATGTAGCACTAAAAAGCAGAACAAGGGTAGCGTATTTTGGCCACTATAAAGAAAAACTCTGCAATATTTAGACTTGTTCAAAATAAAATGGGTAGTGGAATCCTGAATGGGATGCTGGAACAGAAAAAGATTATTAGGTAAAAATCAAGGAGATGTGAATGAATATGGACTCTCATTAATACTAATGTATTGATATTGGTTCATTTAATTGAAACAAATGCATCACACTAATGTAGGATGTTACTAACAGGAAACTGGGACCTCTCTGTACTATCTTTGTAATATTTCTGTAAACCTACAACTGTTCTAAAAAATTAAGTTTAAGAGTAAAAAGAGAACCTACAGACTGGGAAAAAATTTTGGGACCTTATAAGTCAGACAAAGGTCTAATATCTAAAATTTACAAGAAAATCCAACACCTCTACAACAAAAAGGCAAATAATCCTATTAAAAAATGGGCAAAGGAAATGAACAGACACTTCACCAAAGAAGACATTCAACTGGCCAACAGGCACATGAGGAAATGCTCATGATCACTAGCCATTAGAGAAACGCAAATTAAAACCACAATGAGATACCATCTCACTCCGGCATTACTGGCACGAATCAAAAAAACTGGAAATAACATATGTTGGAGAGGCTGCAGGGAGATTGGAACACTATGCACTTCTGGTGGGAATGCAAAATGCTAACAACCATTTTGGAAAATGAGATGGCGCTTCCTTAGAAATCTAGAAATAGAAATACTATACGATCCAGCAATCCCACTCCTAGGCATATATCCTAGAGAAATAAGAGCTGTCACACGAATAGACATATACACACCCATGTTCATTGCAGCATTGTTCACAATAGCAAAAAGATGGAAACAACCTACATGCCCATGAGCAGACAAATGGATAAACTAACTATGGTACATACACACAATGGAGTATTACGCAATGGTAAAGAACAATGATGAATCTGTGAAGCATCTCATAACATAGATGAGACTGGAGGACATTATGCTGAGTGAAATAAGTCAATCACAAAAGGACAAATACCGTACAAGACCACTACTGTAAAAACTCATGAAAAGGTTTACACACAGAAAGAAACAATCTTTGTTGGTTATGAGGGATAGGAGGGGTGGTGGTGGGGAAATACTAAATAGACAACAGATAAGTGGTAACTTAGGTGAAGGGTAAGACAGTACACAATACTGGGGAAGCCAGAACAACTTGTACAAGGCAAGGTCATGGAAGCTCCATAGACACATCCAAACTCCCTGAAGGACCGAACTGGTGGGCGGAGGGCTGTGGGGACCATGGTTTGGAGGAACATCTAGCTCAATTGGCATAACAGTTTATAAAGAAAATGTTCTACCTTAAGACCTAGGGGTCTTAAAAGCCTGTGAGCAGCCACCTAAGATACGCCACTGGTCTCACTCCTTCCGGAGCAAGGGAGAATGAGAAAACAAGATACAAGGGAAAGATTAGTCCAGAGGACTAACAGACCACAACTACCACAGCCTCCACCAGACTGAGTCCAGGACAACTAGATGGTGCCCTTCTACCACCACTGACTGCTCTGACAGGGATCACAACAGAGGGTCCTGGACAGAGCTGGAGAACAATGTAGAACAAAATTCTAACTCCAAAAAGAGACCAGACAGAGACTGGAGAAAGCCCGAGAGTATGGCCCCCGGATACCCTTTTAGCTCAGTAATGAAGTCACTCCTGAGGTTCACCCTTCAGCCAAAGATTAGACAGGCCCATAAAACAAAAAGAGACTAATGGGGCACAACAGTCCAGGGACAAGGACTAGAAGGCAGGAGTGGACAGGAAAGCTGGTAATAGAGAACCCAAGGTTGAGAAGGGAGAGTGTTGACATGTCGTAGGGTTGTTAACCATTGTCTTAAAACAATATGTGTACTAACTGTTTAATGAGAAACTGTTTGTTCTGGAAACCTTCATCTAAAGTGCAATAAAAAAAAGAAAAAAATACTTCTAAAATGGAAAGAAAATGGGAAGAATGGAATTTCTAACAAAATGAATATGAACATGCAAAATTGTCGCTTCCTAAGTAACACATCTTACATTTGAATCTCCATGAGCTCCTTTCTCTCTTGTAAACACGATTCCCTTTTCCAGTGTGCACGACTGTTTGAAATCTGGGTTAGAAAATTTGTAATTCACCTGTTAAACTATAAGTTATACAATATTTTAATATTATTGCTATATATGAAATTTATTTCTAGCTTCACCTCCTGTCTTTCTAAACCTTTTGGTCTAAATTCCCATGTAAATGTAGTCTGTTTTCAATTTACTGCAACTTAACAACTTCTTTCTGGATGTGTTTTAAACTGAGAATAAAACGCTCTTTCAGGAAAAATAAATTAAGTTTACTAGATAGATAAAAGCTGTTTGCTGTCAAGTCAACTCTGATTCATCCATGTGTGTCAGATTAGAACTGCACGCCATAGGATTATCAGTGACTGATTTTTTGGAAGTAGATCACCAGGCCTTTCTTCTGAGGTGCCTCTGGGTGGACTAGAACCTCCATCCTTTTGGTTAGCAGCGGAGCACATTAACTGTTTGTATCACCCAGGGATGATAGATAGACAGATAAATAGATAAATAGATAGCTGATAGATAATAATAGATTAGATAGATAGATAAATAATAGATGATAGCCGGATAGATAGATGATTGATAGATGATAGATAATAGATGAAAAATTAGGTAGATAAGTAATAGATGATATACAGATAATAGATAGACAGGCAGACAGACAGATAGACAGACCGATAGAACGAACAAACTGATTCGGGAATGAATTCCTCTCACTGCAAAGATTTAAGCAGAAGCCATTTAACTACCTCCTGTGTGTAGGGGGTGGGGCAGTTAATTGTTAGATTTTATATGTAACTGGTAAGGATCTCCAGCCACAAACTCAGGTGAGCAATGAATATGTCTTTCCCTGTTTTTCCCACAAGTGAATTGAAGTTTTGTCTCAAGTCAGTGGCGCACAGCTGTTAACCAAAAGGTTGGAAGTTCAAACCCACCCAGAGGTGCGTCAGAAGAAAGGTCTGGTGATCTACTTCCAAAAGGTTACAGCCATGAAATCCCTATGGAGCAGTTCTACTCTGCACGCATGGGGCCGCCAGGAGTTGGAATCAACCTGACGGCAAATGGTTTTGGTTCTCATGTCAGTTCAGGGTCTCCAGGCCTCTTTTCCCCAGAGAGCGCCTCTGGGTTCTGGTCACCAACATTGCATCAGGCATACTGTTCAGGATGGATCAGAAACATCCTTGTACCCTTGGCCACTCTGGGATGTGGGGGACCTTGCTTGGAACCATATCGGCCACTTCAAGTTAGAACAGATTCCTTCTACTTCTGGGTCCCCCAAATTGTGCTGTACTGCCCCCCACACCCAGGGGCAGAGGGAGTAGGCAGGAACCTCAAGAATGGCTCAAGTCCTTACTTCCTCAATGACTCTTCCTTCCTCTGTCCCTGCACATGGTTATCTGGCCTTGGGTGAGGGCATAGGAGGGGCTGTGGCTGGTCTTATGCCCTAAGTTGCCTCATACACTTTATATATATGTACATATACATAATGTTTTAGATGAAGGTTTACAGAGCAAATTAGTTTCTCATTAAACAATTAATACATATACTGTTTTGTGACATTGGTTGCCAGCCTCACGACATATCAACACTCTCCCCTTCTGGACCTTGGGGTCCCCCTTACCAGGTTTCCTATCCACTCCTGCCTTCTCTCATCCTTGCCCCTGAGCTGGTGTGCCATTGTTTTGTTTTATGGACCTGTCTAATCTTTGGCTGAAGGGTGAATCCAGGAGTGACTTCATTACTGAGCTAAAAGGGTGTCCAGGGACCATAATCTTGGGGTTTCTCCAGTCTCTGTCAGGCCAGTAAGCCTAGTCTTTTTTTTTTTTTTTTTTTTTTGTGAGTTAGAATTTAGTTCTACATTTTTCTCCAGCTCTGTCTAGGACCCTCTATTGTGATCCCTGTCAAACTTTTTTTTTTAATTTTTTATTGTGGTGAAAATATACACAGCAAAACATATACCAATCCAACAATTTCTACGTGTACAATTCAGTGACATTAGTTACATTCCTTGAGTTGTGCAGCCATTCTCACTCTCTTTTCCCAATTGTTCCTCCTCCATTAACATAAACTCACTGCCCCCTAAGCTTCCTATCTGACCTTTGGAGTTGCTGTTGCCAATTTGATCCCATAGAGATGGACCTTTAAAACAGTGACATGCTCAAGGCAGACATTCTTTACTAATTAAGCTAAACTATTGTTTGGTTTTAAGAAGACTTTCAAGGTAAATTTTTGGTTTAAGGTTTAAAGATTATCTTAGTGGCCTCACTAGGGAGGTGAGGGGAGGAAGAGAGGGTGCAGCCCGCACATGGTGACGCTGTCAGAGGGTGGTGACACCAAAAAGACTGTGTATAAAATTTTTGTGCAGTGTTTCAGCAGAAATTTATTATTTTTAATAAAAATATCCCTTGGCAGCCGGGAAGTGAAATGTCTCCCAAAGTTCAGAGGCTGCTGCAGGTACGGGAGAGCGGCTGAGGAGACTGCAGGGTCGCTCTGCTGGCCATTCCGGCCAGGTGGGCTATGGTCGAGGGGCTCCTGCCACCCCAGGTGCCCAGGCTCTGCCATGCCAGTGCTAAGGGTCACCCCGCAGCCCAGTGCACCCTGGTCAGCGGTTCCCGATCGCTGGCATCCACTGACTGAGCCGGACGCCCCAAAAGGAGGAAGGAATAGAAAACCCAGTTTCGTCCAGAGGACTGCTGGGGCTTCATCCCACAGCCAAGGGGTCTCAGCTCCCTCTCACACCTGCCCACCTGGCACCTTCAGGCCCTGGGGAACTTTGCGGGGCCACCGCTGCTCTGGGGCTGCTCAGTGGCAGCCACAGATGGGTGGTGACGCTGCGGGGCCCCTACACTCTTCCTTCATGCCTTCTCTTCCCTATTGTGGGGACTCTGGGGTGCAGGGAAGTCCAGATTGGGAGCTCAGAGCTCAGCTCCCCAGGATAAAACGAGTGGCCCTGTTCTGGCTCCTTCCCCCAAGACTCTGCCGTTTAAAATACTGTTGTTATTTTGATATTTTGATTTTGCAACTGAGATTCAGAATGGAACACTGCCCGGTCCTACAACATCCTCACAATCATTGTTATACTTGAGCCTTGTGCTGCAGCCACTGTGTCAATCCATCTCATTGAGGGTCTTCCTCTTTTTCGCTGACCCTCTACTTTACCAAGCTTGATGTTCTCCTCCTGACAACACATCCAAAGTATGTAAGACATAGTCTCACCATCTTTGCTTCTAAGGAGCATTCTTGTACTTCTTCCAAGACAGATTTGTTCGTTCTTTTGGCAGTCCATGGTATATTCAATATTCTTCGGCAACACCACAATTCAAAGGCGTCAATTCTTCTTCGGTCTTTCTTATTCATTGTCTAGCTTTCCCATGCATATGATGCGATTGAAAACACCATGGCTTGGGTTAGGCACGCCTTGGTCTTCAAGGTGACATGTTTGCTTTTCAACACTTTAAAAAGGTCTTTTGCAGCAGATTTGCCCAATGCAATGCATCTTTTGATTTCCTGACTGCTGCTTCCATGGGTATTGAGTGTGGATCCAAGTAAAATGAAATCCTTGACAACTTGAATCTTTTCTCTGTTTATCATGATGTTGATTATTGGTCAAGTTGTGAAGATTTTTGTTTTCTTGATGTTGAGGTGTAATCCATACTGAAGGCCGTAGTCTTTGATCCTTATCAGTAAGTGCTTCAAATTCTCTTCACTTTCAGCAAGCAAGGTTGTGTCATCTGCATAACGCAGATTGTTAATGAGTCTTCCTCTAATCCTGATGCCCCGTTCTTCTTCATATAGTCCAGCTTCTCGGATTATTTGCTCAGCATACAGACTGAATAGGTATGGTGAGAGGATACAGCCCTGACGCACACATTTCCTGACTTTAAACCATGCAGTATCCCCTTGTTCTTCTCAAATTCCTCTTGATCTGTGTACAGGTTCCTCATGAGCACAATTAAGTATTCTGGAGTTCCCATTCTTCTCAGTGGTATTCATAATTTGTTATGATCCACACAGTTGACGCCTTTGCACAATCAATAAAACATAGGTAAACATCTTTCTGGTATTCTCTGCTTTCAGCCAGGATCCATCTGACGTCAGCAATGATATCTCTGGTTCCATGTCCTCTTCTGAATCTGGCTTGAATTTCTGGCAGTTCCTGTCAATATACTGCTGCAGCTGGTTTTGAATGATCTTCAGCAAAATTTTACTTGTGTGTGATATTAATGATATTGTTTGATAATTTCTGCATTCGGTTGGATCACCTTTCTTGGGAATAGGCATAAATATGGATCTCCTCCAGTCACTTGGCCAGGTAACTGTCTTTCAAATTTTTGGCACAGACGAATGAGCACTTCCAGCATTGCATCCATTTGCTGAAATAACTCAATTGATACTCCGTCAATTCCTGGAGCCTTGTTTTTTGCCAATGCCTTCTGTGCAGCTTGGACTTCTTCCTTCAGTACCATCAGTTCCTGATCATATGCTACCTCTTTAAATGGTTGAACATCAACCAATTCTTTTTGGTATAATGACTGTATCCCTTCCATCTTCTTTTATTATTTTTTTCCCATACAAAAATTTATACATACATTGTTATGTGACCCTAATTGCTCTCCCCATACTGTGACAGCATACTCCTCCTTTCCACCCGATTCCCCATGTCCATTCAACCAGCTCCTAACCCTCTCTGCCTTCCCATCTCACCTCCGGACAGAAGCTGCCCATTTAGTCTCTTGTATCTACTTGAGTTAAGAGGCACACTCCTCACGAGTATCACTTTACGTCCCATAGTCCCGCCCAATCCCTGTCTGAAGAGTTGGCATCAGAAATTGTTTTAGTTCTGAGCTGATAGAAAATCCAGGGGCCATGTTTTCTGGGGTTCCTCCAGTCTCAGTCAAACCATTAAGTCTGGTCTTCTTACTATAATTTGAGTTCTGCACCTCACCTTTCTCCTGCTTCATTTGGGACTCTCTATTGTGTTCCCTATCAGAGCAGTCATTGGTGATAACCAGGCACCATATAGTTCTTCTGGTCTCAGGCT